GTTCTGCAAGGCAAAAACCTCAATCTATGGATTTCTTCAGAAGACAAAGACCGCTTATAATAGCTACAGCTCTAAGTACACAGGCATGTCCCAGTAAAAGCAGATTTTTATGTAATTTAGCTAGAATATTTACTAAAGTGTTGCCCACATATAGACAGAGATGAGTGTTCAGCATCACCATGAATATAAGCTAGAATACTTCTAGAAGCCTTGTGAGTCACTCATCTGAACTCCTCTGCTGTTTCCTCCCCACTCCTGAGGGAATGAGGTGGCGTCAGCAAAAGGAACAGTCAAAAGCAACAAGAAATTACTACCTTTCTTCCCAATTTTGCTCTGTTTTTTCCAGAATATAGCTGGAATGCAGAAAAGGGAGAGTAGTTTTAGCCTCCAGACTCCACATTTCTGCTTCCAAGGACAAGCAAAATAGCTTTGCTTGCACTTCCCGGATACCACAGGCAGTTCTTTTTTTCTGATGCAAGTATACAGCTTCTATTAAGTCTCAGAGGTATTTTCATTAAATTAAGACTCTGCAATTAACAAAATCCAGTAAATGAAGTCATCGCAACAAAACCTGAGACACCAGCATGACAAAGAAGACAATCTAGCATTCATCCTAGCTTTACTGGAGCAGCACAAGAAAAGTTTGTAATGCAAGATGTCTGTTTATGATTAAGATGTAAACTTAATTTGTACACTTAACCAAACTGTAAGCTTTCACACATATGTGCTCTGGCTGGGGGCTCCTACTGACTCAGCATCAGCATCTAATCGCAGCCACTTCCCTGCCTTTTGACTGAAATGGAAGGCAGCTACTACACCCAACAGCTTTCCTAATAACAACTGTGTATGTCTGACGTTGGAATTGTCATCCTTATAAAATCAACTAGAATTCAAAACAACTCCTGTTTGAGGAAAGAGAGACCACCAAAAAATGCATCTATCCACATACATTGTTATGGATAGTTAAGATAAGTCTGCATCCATGAAGACAGAATAGATACAGACAATCTATTTCAGGTAGTATGGTGTGGGTTTTGGACAGGTGACGGGTTGGTTTTAAAGCAGTTTTTCTTTTTTGGAGAAGGTAAGTGACAGGAGACAACTTCTGCTGGAAAATGAAAATATTACCTCAAAATACCAGCACAAAGAGAGAAGCAGGCAAAACACTTCAGCATTTGTTAAACCCACACAAACCCACAGTTATTAGCTCTACACTTAAAGGTGTTTTGCAAGTATGACAGCTTTTAAAAAACGTTTTTGTAATACAAGAAGCAAGCCTCACTGACAGTTTACACATTATTTTCACCTGTTGGCATAGCAAAGGCAGAAAAGACACAAGACACCAGAAATACTTTTGGTCCCCTTAGTTCCTTCCAGCTCAGACCATGTCCACAGCTAATTTTGCTTTCTGGCACTGAAAACAGCATCAATTACAATAATAACCACAGTATCCTTCCAGGAAGAATTACTGAAGGCAGCAATTTCAGCTGTGCACATCAGTCTGAGAGCAGAGCTGAAGGAAACAAAGCAAGCAGAAATCAAAGGCCAAGTCTCAGCAACCCCTGTTTGCTCTTTCACATGTCAGCTGTGCTCTCCCAGCAGTACCCAGCCAGTTGCTGGGAGGTGAGGCTGGGCAGGAACGCACCGATAGCGGAGCGAACACATCAACTCAGAGACACTGGAAGACATCAACCCACTGTCACAGCTGGCACTGACAGCCTGATGCTTCAGGAAGTGATGCTATTGCTTCTTCTCAAGGAGAAGAAAGAGATAAAGGTAGTTTGGCTGGAGCAAATGCATGACTGCAGAATACCTCATCTCGGTTTTGTACCATCTATCACATTGCCTTGAAAGTGCTTATACCCATAGTGCATACACTCTCATAAATTTACAACTTGAATTAAAATCCTAATAAGATGTATTAGGGCAGCTGGTAAAACAACTAAGAGAATTCCCTTTGGGCACAAAGGCACACACATACACCAACAAGAATTAGTACATCTCCTTTGATCTACTTTTCTACTGATCTACAGTCATACTCTAATGATGAGCACAGGAAGTACTGATCTTATATATTTTCCCTTCAAAAAATTCTTCCTGCAATACTGCTTCTGCAAACAGAATCAAGCTCATAATTTATTAAAATTAAATCCAAATCCACATAATAAAAGGTCAGTTTAACATTGCCTTATTTTCACCATACAATAAGCTTGCTTTTTGCTCTTCAGAGATGTATTCTGGGGCTTGCAGATCAGTGCATGGTCTGCTCTTCAAGGACAGGTACTATAATGCACAAGATCATCATCCCTCAGAGACTGCAGCCCTGAATATTAGTACATCATCTTCTAAAGTACGGCATAAAAGGCTTAGCAGTTTCTTCTTGCTTGGATGCACTGAAACCAATTCCTTACGCCTGTATCCCAAGGAAATTAAGCAATTCTCACTTACCAGATACTTAATCAAAAAACCTCAACCAAGCCAAACAGGAAAGCAAATCCTGACTGTAATCATTCATTGTTACACGGGAAAAGAACAAGTTCCAGCTTCCCTGATTTCAGAGGCTTTTTTTGGTTTGTTTTTTAACAAACCGCTGCTTCTTCAGTAGATGATTAGGAACACATTATACTTGGTCCACTGGGACAGTCAGCTTCCCCACTGAGGCTCATTTAGCTGTATGGGCTACAAGACAATAACCTTTATCCTCACTTTTCTTTTTCCTTAACTTTGGTTCTTTTGCTGGAGGCTGGAAACCCCCTTAGAAGAAAGGTAGCGCAATGCAATGCACCCAGATTCAGCACTGGACAGTGCTGGTGTTGAGACTGAAAATTAGGGAATTCTAGCTGGACCCAAGAAACCTGGAATCAAGTCTATCATTTCCTCATTAAAACTCTGCTGGATTGCCATACTGTTGAGCTTCTGAAGCAGCAAACACCAGTCAGGTAGATCCCTAGAAATAAAAGAGTTGTTCTGCTGCCTGTTACAAGTGACCAATCTGATTCTATTGCTATCTCCACACTAAATGATGACACATAAAAGCTGTCATTGCAGCATGTTTGATGAGTTTGGAATAACACAAAGCAGTTACTCCATTAAAAATCACACCAAGGTTATTCCTCCCAATACTGCCATTTAATGCAGATGTGCAGGTCTCCTTTTCCCCCTTCTCCGCTCCCTGTAATATTCATTAGATGACTGAGTTTTCTAGCACCGTTTCAGTTGCACCAGAGTATGTATCACTTTTGAGCTGTGCTTCACGTTATGTAGAAAGAATAAAGAGACCTGAAATGACTAAAGCATTGAAATGAGAGAAAAGATTCAGGTTCGTAAGAGAAATATCAATTTTGAGAGATAAGAACAGTAGCAGGTAGCCACAAAACACAAACCCTTGTGTTCTACGAGACCTTCTACAAACTTGAAATATGATTCTTACGAGTGAGTTTTTATCCCGTACCACTTACAGAATTTAGGCAGAAAAGTGAAGTCAGTTATGCCAGTCAGTAGAGGGCTTTCACAGTTTTGTATCACCAACCATATGAATCCTCGTGGAAGTTGCCATGGTTATAAAATGTTTGCTTTAATACGTTTGTCTGAAATTCCTATGGAATTCCCACACGGCCAAAACCAGCAGTGGTTGGGAGTGCTCCTCCAACACTAAAGAAGTTGAGTCAGAAACACATACCACTTCCGCTCAGAATATTATCTGGGAAACACTAAAAAGTGATTCATACCATTTTGAGCCATGGAAGGGAGGAAACAAACATCACATTCAACTATTTAAAAACTTCTGTGATGACTCACATCAGCTTAGGACATTTCCAGAATCCGCTGCTTTTCTCGAGTAACAAATTGATTTAGACTGTTGAAGAAAATAAGCTGTTAACTATTGAAGAAAACAAGTAAGACTGATCCGCTTCCAACAGAACCATTCAACTATCAAAGAAAGAATAAACGGAGAAGGGCTGAGGGTTTTTTTTTGCCTCCCCAAAAGATAACACAAACCCCAAGAAGCTCAGTGGGTCATATCTCTGTAGGTCAAAGTTGAAAGCGCACCAGCTGATAACTGCACCCATTTAAGTTTGATTTTAGCTGTATTTGCAAAAATGAGCTTGGAATTTTTCCTTCAGCAAGCCCACTACCTGTTGTGTTTCAGCCACATTCGTGGGGATTCATCATGGTCCATGTTTGGCTTGGGCTCACAATGTTATGTGATTGCAGCAGCCAGTACTAACAAAACGTTAATCCAGACACAGAGGCAACAAGATATAAACAATTAAAAGCAAGGAATAACAAACAATGTGTGGAAAAGCTAAGAACAGAGCACAGCAGTATATCCAAAGAAGTATTACACAGCACTCATTGGCCTCCTGTGATTAAATGACCATAAGGGGAAATAAGAAGTGTTGGACTGAGGAAGGAAAACAACCCTAAGTTGGTGCAATAATATAATATAGACTGCTTTTTTCCCTACCAGAAGGGTATGGGAAAGAAGACTTTTGAATGGAAGCAATTCCTGTCTATCACTTCCCTAGTCTGGCCATCTTAGGAAAGTTAAATTAGCTTTGAGTATCTGTCTGCTATTCATTCATGCGCATAACATTCTGATAAATAAAAGCACTATTATCAACAGGAAACACTGTATTTAGAATGACAGAGCAAGAGCAGCAGATATTTCCTCAGAAGACTACACAACTTACACTATTCAGAATACAGCTCAGATCTTGTCAGCAAGAAAAGCACAACAGAATATACTCCCTAAAAAAAAGACTATTCTCCATTTTTGTCACTACTGAGACTCTCCTAGCAGAAAGTTTTGAAAGTCAGTAACAGTGGGGGGAGGAAGAGGCTGAAATACAACACAGCTCCAAAATTCCCAAACTTTAGAAAAAAAAACCAAGAAAAATTGTTGCCTTTAGAAGCTTCTGTTCAGATTTTCCTACTCATCAGTCATGTGATGGCACAATCTGCCTACAGCCCAGGCTCCCCCTCCCTGTTCCACCCAGGGAAGAGTGCTGTGCCAAGGGCTGTGCTGGGGGGGAGCCTGGTGGTGAGGGTTTTTTTCCAGGATGGGTTTGGGAGGGGAGCATCCTGAATACACTGACTAATTTTCTTTAAAAGATGTGAAAGTTTTCTGTTAAAGATGTTTTAAATCGGATTCTCTCTTGCACAACGGTTATAAGAGTGGAAAGACGATGATAATTTTGATTGGTACAATACTAAAACTGCATATCCCATTCCTACCAGTGCCAATACTTGTAATACAGTTCTGGACAGATATGAATAGACTGTGGCCACAGAAGCCACAGTTCAGCTGGATTGCTCACATGTGGGATTTTGTTTCCATACATACCAGGGACTCAAAATACTATATGCAAGTAAACAAAATGATTTCTAGTTGCTATGATACCACATTTATGCATTTTATCTCTCTTCAGTGTGTAAACACTCACCAACACTGTATACAGATTGTTCTGGTTCTCTTTAAAGTAGTGTAGGCCAATAGCTGCAAGCTAAATTTCCTAGAAATTATTAGGATCCCCTTTCACCTCCCTCATGTCCAAGAAAGAGAGCAACTGGAAACACTCTGGAAAACACAGCTGGATAAAATCCACACATTCACACAGATACACGCACGCACACTACTACGGGATGAGAGAGCTCATCTGAACCTTCTGCAGCTGCCAAAATGGATGGCTGCTCCCAAAACTGAGCAAGGAGAAATACAGGAACAGCCAAGAGTCTCACTCACTTGCTTTAAACCTTGCAAAGAGTCCTCCCCTCAATGCCCAGCAGGGAGGCAGCTCCCAGGAGGGCTCTTACACGCCCCTTCAGGATAAGAGCGTGTAAGCAACATTTATTCTCGTAAGTTACTTTTGCTATCAGTTTTTCTGTTATTTAGAAGATTAAAGGCACTCTCCTTAAAAAGCTGAGCAGTTCATTACTGAATTAAATTTCAAAAATTATACAAAGTATTAATTTAGAACACTAATTAAAGCTTTATCAGCCCAGGAATCCATTTATTTTATGTTTGGGGTTTGGGTGTTAGGTTTGGGTTTTTTAGTGCCATCAGAGGAAGTGGATGAGTCTGATTTTAACTGCTGTCCCCCAGAGAGACTCTGCACTCCTCCCTTCCCCACATGAACCATGCACATTCATATCCCTTTCCTCAGCCAGCACAGGCCCCTCTGTGATTCAAGTGCTCCAAACTTTTGGGTTCTTTTGCTGGTGAATTATTCGAGCCAGCCCATCACAGGCTGACAGCTGACACAGAGCAGTGGGAGCATTCAAACTGCTCACAGTGACAGAAAGCGATGCAATTGCTATGCAAAACCACACCCATGAGCTGAGCTCCCTTCATCAGCAATGTGTCAGAACTACTTCATTCCATTTTCCTTTAAATATCTCAAAACAGCCTTCTTGACACCTGAACTTCTCCAGACGTGTACACTATTGCAATCAAGTGCATCTCTCACAAAATCCATTCCAATTACACAAAAACTCACGACACGAACTCAAGTTTTTCTCCCATGATTTACAAATCACTCCTGGTAAGTTTCTTTTTAAAAGAGCACAGCATTTTGTCAGGTAGGAATGTCACAGATTATGTTACTGAACTGGCCCTACAGCACTAACAGCACTTCTAAAGCACATGACAATAGGAACAGGATAGAGAATTTTAGGGCCCAGTTTAAAAAAATGCACATAGAAACAATTTAACACACGAACAAGTTATGTATCACCATACAAGCACAGCAACGCAGTTACAGCCTTACACAGTTATCCCTAAATGACTTAAAAACTAAACTTGATGTTAGGTTTTTGTTGTTGGGTTTTGTTCGTTTGTTTTCCAAACAGGATCTTTTGGGGTTCATTTCTTCCAAAATCTTCCTAACACTGGCTTCAATCAGTGATTTATTTAATTAAGATGACACCTAAAGGAGAACTTGCAAAGTTCTGGCACTCCTAGAAGCCAACAAAACGCTTTATAAAGGAGTATTTATACTGTAGAATCAGAAAGATGGTATCAAAACAGAATACGTAACGTATGCGAACAGTACATTACTTATTTAAAACACGAGGATAAACTTTTGTGTACCCTTGACTCCAAAAAATCCACAGGCAACCAACCATTTCTTCAGAAGGACATGTTGATCTCTCAGGTTTGTTCTTGATGTACACTGACACCTCATGGACATTTAAAAAACTTTTAGCGCCTACTCTCTTAGTTCTGTCTTTCTCTGGTTTTAGAAACACAGTAACTTTTCTTTTACGTCTCATTGTCCTCTTTTAGAAACGTCCCCGGCATCATTTGGTCTATTGCTGATCTTCTCTTAATAAAATACTTAGCATTTGTTTGTGATGAGCAGGGGGACTGCGTCCCCAAACACTGAACCACGGAACGCAGAAAGACAAGGTATCTCTCTCCAGCTGGAACCAGGGACCTTTCCAACCCAAAGCCATTCTGTTATTGTATGATTACCTAAGAATGTCAACAAAATTCACCATTTCCAGTTTAATTTATGTCGAAGTAGCAAGGAGCTTTATTTCGCACTGTTGTACCATAGAAAGAAATGTAAAAGGCAAGGCTCCTTACAGATTTGCATTCTGCAGTAGGAGCGTGTTATCCTTCACTTTTCCCAAGAGGCTAACATGTATGAAGAGAACAAAACAACCCTCTGCTATTTCTTCCTTCTTGTTTGAGACAGAAAAAACAGCCCCTCCACCACCAAAAAAACCCCACCCAAATCCCATGTGACAAGGAAAAAGTCCGTAGCAATCTATGTAAATAGTCAAGTCACACATCGTACATCTCAAGTCTGATACACCAACAAACTACTCCTTGCTGAATAAAATGATGAAGTCTTCAACACTGAAAAGTATGAGAGTAATACAAATGCAATAGGCTGATAACACTTATTTGTTAGGGGTATTACCTCTCTTCCAAAATACTGCAAAGCTAATTTAATTAACGACATTCATGCAGTATTAATACACAGGGAAAAAAAAAAAACACAACCAACCAATTCTTTTGAAATACTTATCTTTACCTAAATCTGCAAGACAAAACTACTTCAAAGGATATTGTTAGTTCTTAAAAATTAAAAGAAGCTCCATCATGTCTTTTCTTTAGAGGTGCTACTGCAAATTTATTGATGGCGTACAGAACACTTGAATTTTGTTTTCTGAAGTGTTTCTGGCATTCCAAAACACAATATTCAAATATTTTGACAAAATCTGTGAGGCTTGACAGTTTTTATAAATAAAACTATAAAACCCAAATGTAATAAAATCCTTTACCTCATCTCTTTTCCATGCCTAAGGGAAGAGGAAATGATTCTCAAGTATCTACTCTTAATACAAACTTTGTTTTACGTTTCTTCTCAAGTGGACCTTGTGTAGCATTAAAACCAAACCAAAAAGGGCAGAAAGATTCACTTTGCATCCCAGAGAAAAAACATCCCATTAATTCCTTGTCCCACATGGCTCCTGGCTTTTAGCAGAGATGGAACAACCAAACTGCCAGTCAGCATATTTTCCCAACACATTCCATTTCACCCCAGCCAAAAAGCAGCAGCTGGTAGATTCCATTCATTGTGAAACAGCATATACTTTTCAGTCAATACTATCACCATCTGGTCAACAACAAGGGAAATATCGCATCTATTCTCATTTATAAAAGATTAAAATCAGGTCATCTTGAAGCACACACTTGAGAAAAAAATTCCAGTGTAACGCAGTTAAAACTAAAGCTTATTTTGCTCCACTCATATATATGAAAGAGCGTTAGCAACATGTGCAGAAATGGTAGATGATACTAACTACTATAAGCTTTGATAAGATGATACTAACTACCATATTCAGCTTTGCAACTCGGACAAACTTCAGATGCAGGCTTTCTGCATCAGGTGCCAGAATCAGTTAAAGACCACAGGGCAGGGCAAACAATAAAATAAAAACTAAATCAGCTATTACTAAGATTAGGAGAAAAATTAATTTTATATTCATCAATAGCATTGCTGATAGCAATTCAAGTTACAGCACCACACTATTTAGTAGCTGCTACATGAAATTTTGAAAGATCAAACAAACATGCACTATTCTGGTACCCATTACACACAAATAATGGATTTACATTTTGCGGGTTTATTATTATTGGACTGACAAAAATCAGCCCAAATGTCCTTGAGTTGAAGTCTCTTATCTACATACTACACGTTTTCAGATAACTTGTAGCTGTCTGGCAACCCAGTTTTCTGAATTGCTTATCCCAGAGAATAATTTTCAGCCATAACCTGTTAAAAGTGGACTAGTAAGCTCTGTCCAAAGACTATGCATCCTTCATCAAGTGCACTTTTTGGTACTATTTTAGCTAGCACTGTATTTCTGAACAAGGATGTCCACTGCTTTTGTATTTGTACAAGAGCAAGATAAGGTGTATCAACAACCATGCCTTTCAGTTTTCTAACTAAACCCTATTAACTGTTACCTTTACAGGCACTTCATCCCCAAGAAAGACACAGAGGAAAGGGGGAAACCAACACTTCTTTCCACCATCTGGAAGCCAAGACATTTTGCCTTAACAGATTGATTTGCTTTTAAATTGTGCTGGTTTGATTCCTGTTCAGGACAGGTCAGGGGAGGAAAAAAAAACCCCAAACATATGAAAGTGGTAAAGATCAGATGAGAGGACAGGTCTGCAACCTGAAGCTTCACACATCTACACCACAAAGCAGCCTGGCCTCCAGATTAAGGAACTAACAGAAACGTCTCATGTATATGTCATATATATGTCTCAACATATGCCTGTTTTTAATCTAATCTCAAATAAAAGGTATGAGGAACAGGGTGAGATGAGGCTGAAGGTAAATGGCCTCCTATTTTCTAACCTGGTGGTAGCAAGACTGAAAAAAACGCGTAAGTGCTGCTTCTTTCAGGGTAGGGATCTCCTTCAGTATCAAAACAGTACAGCTAGGAATAAAAACCAAACCAAGAAACAAATCAGAACTGATGAACA